TTACAAGAAACGTTTAGCTGCAGTTATTGCTGCAAAAGGGGGTCACACCAGATACTGAATGCAAAGATTCACATACTTTTGCCACTCACAAATATTTAACACCAGATCATTTTTCTCAATAAATAAATGACAAAGTATATATTTTCATCTCATTTGTTCGATTGGGTTCTCTTTGTCAACTTTCAGGATTTGCATGAAAATCTGATGATTTTTTGGGTCATATTTATGCAGAAATATTGAAAATTCTAAAGGGTTCACAAACTTTCAAGCAGCACTTTATATATATATATATATATTAAAAAAATTATATATATTTTCACAAAACATTCACACAACTTTTCAACACTTATAATAAAAAAAATCAATAAATTACATTTGAAAATATATTAAAATAGAAAAGTTATTTTAAATTGTCATATTTCACAGTATTATTGTTTTTACTTTTTTTTTTTTTTAATCAAACAAATACGGCTTTGGTGAGCATAAAACATATCTTACCCAAACTAAAGTGTATATACTGTTTTTTAAACATATATATTGTATTAATATTATAACATTAATAATAAAAAAAAAAACAGTCTAATGGCAACCTAATCAGATTAACACCAATATTTAAAAAAAAAATATATATATTGACCATATGGTCACCAACATACATATTATAAATGTTTCCAGAATTTTTGGCAACCCTAATTTTACCATTCACCATCAAATACTATGCAATAACACAATGGTTATTAAGAAATGTGTTATGTTTTGTTAGCTCTGCAGAAGGGTTTGACAAAGGCACTCAAGAAGCTGGACGACTACCTAAACAGTCCCTTGCCTGATGAGGTAGATGCCGACAGCATGGAGGATGAGAAGGCCTCCAACCGCAAGTTCCTGGACGGGAATGAGCTGACTCTGGCAGACTGCAACCTGCTGCCAAAGCTCCACATAGTGAAGGTGAGTTGAAGCGCTAAGGGGGACTTGTCACTAGAGTTGGCCTGCAGTGTATGTGGGGTAACCAAGGAGGCCTATAATACCTGGTCAGAGCTATCCGTTAGCATTCCCATTAATCTCAATGACAATTTTGGCGGACATTTGCACTCACGGAGGACAGTCAATGGAGAAGATGCAGTTTGCTGCCAGACATTTAGGGGGAAACTGTTAACCAGCAAAACCTCAACCCATAATGCATAATGCAAGTTATGTGATCTTTTAAGAAAAGCAATTTTAACTTTAAAGCAACTCTTTATAGTTTTTTTGTAAATTTTGAGTCCCCTAGAGTTAAGTGAGTGGAACTGACTGCCGTAATTACAGTGGATAGCTGTACACATTAATTTTTTGCTGCCGTAAAGCAATCCGTGGAATTTCATGGAGTTTGGGGTTTGTAAGATTTTTAAATGTTTTAAAAAGAAGTCTTTTATGCTCACCAAAGCTGCATTTATTTAAAACAGTAAAAACAGTAATATTGTGAAATATTATTACAATTTAATTAACTGTTTTCTATATGAATATATGTTAAATATGTTAAAATTCCTGTGATGCAAAGCTGAATTTTCAGCATCATTACTCCAGTCTTTAGCATCACATGATCCTTCAGAAATCATTCTAATATGCTGATTTGCTGCTCAGTAATCATTTTTATTATTATAAATGTTGAAAACAGTTGCTGCTTAATATTTTTTGTGGAAACTGTGATACCCTTTTCTTTCCAGGATGTTTTGATGAACTGAAAGTTCAGAAGAACGGCATTTATTTGAAATAGAACTCTTTCATAACATAAATGTCTTTACTGTCACTTTTGATTATTTATTGCATCTTTAATGAATAAAAGCAATCATTTCTTTAAACAGATATCTTACTGACACTAAACATTTGAACGGTAGTGTAAATATTTTAAAAGGCATTGGTCTAGTAGTAAGCAAACATGAGCAGACATGTTAAGTTGTAATGCAATGCAGATTTGAGTCCCCTCAGTATAAATACAGCAGTGCATAAACAGAAGTTAATCTACAAGGTTTACATTTGTTTTTAATTGTTTTAGTTATGTTCATTCATCTATTTTCCATCCACGTTTTTGCAGGTCGTTGCCAAGAAATATCGGAACTATGACATTCCCAACGATTTGACAGGTGTGTGGCGTTACCTGAACAATGCGCATGAGCAAGAAGAGTTCACCAACACCTGTGCCGCCGACAACGAGATCGAATTAGCATATAAGGCTGTGGCTAAGAGGCTAACTAAATAAACAGACGAACACATTTGACACAAATAGACTTGGGGTAGATCTTTTCTTGGGGAAGAGATGATGTTTTCCATGTAATTCCATGTAAAGCTGTTGATCCCAAACTACAAGGTAGTAGATTCATTCATCCAGGGTACTGATAATCAATCATACGTTCAGTTAAGGACTGGTGCTCTGATATAATTATGAAACACCACATTTGCCTGTCTACGAGTGCCGTGACTCAAATGTGAATCCAAAACATCAGCCAATCAATCCTCACCAGCTCTCACTCATCTGTTGCTCATATAAATATTGTCCCAAGCGACTTTACTATTGTATCTCTATTTAAAGAGACTTCACATCACTGTTTTCTGTTGTTCTTCCTGTTTTATAATATTTATCATATTATGCACTGATTCTTGAGACATAGAACAAAATGTCACAACTTTAATTGCATCAGAGTGAATTAAAGATTTGTGTCACTAAAATATTTACTAGAACACATTTTCAATTTTATGTGATTCAAATGAAATGGTACTGTACATGCAGTATGACATTATCATTCACAACCTCTGAAACCACCTTCCCTCAGCCTGAAACTTAATTCTTCATAAAGATTTAAATATATATTAAACTTAAGAAAAATCTGAAAAATAAATATATAATTCAAATAATATTTTGAAGCATGTTTTTGAAATAAGTCTCATGCTGACCAAAGTGTTTAATACAGTAAAAACAGTAATATTGTGATTATTATGATTATTTAGTTTTTTACAATATATTAAAAAAGAAAAAAAAAATTTAAACCCCAAACTTTAAAAAGGTAGTGTAAACTTTTAACTTTTTTTGTTTAACCTATTTTGTCCCAGTACTCAAGAATTGGTGCATTACATAACCTCTCTGATTGTTTTCTATCAGTCATACATGACAGCTGAAAAAAAGCTTGTTCAAGTATTTAAAGTCTGTAAGAATTATTCACACTCACATCTCCTATGGTTCTACAATGTCTGTCAATATTGCTTTCCATTATGTTTTCATTATTATTTGTGTATAACGGATAAAAAGATTTGATGTGAGCAGCAGGATAAACTTACAAAAAAAAGGTAAGGTTAAAAAGGTACATCCTGGGCAGCTTCATAACCAATCATATATAAATGTTGGATTTGTACATGTTTCATGCAAAAAAAAAAAAAAAATTCTGAAGGAGCACTAAAAAAATTGTTTTAGGTACATAATGATTTAATGAGGTGCTAATTTAATATATGCCAAATACAGCTTATTAATGCTGTTAATGATCATTTCTACATGACTATCCTGCTCTTTTAAAGCCAGTAGCAGAGTTTTCGCAAACTGTTTATAGAAAATTCTTCATTGCCTCATAATGTAATTTCCTTGTAAAGTACAAGTTGTTCAGACTTTCCTCTGTTATTGCTCACAACTCATATCATTTTGTCTTCTCATTTTGTTTTGGCTCACTTTATCTCAAAGTGTTTAATATCAATCAGCGCTGGATATATCACACTTAAATATTTATTCACAACCCCGTGTATGAGAAATTAACAAGCTGAGATGGAAAGGAGATTCACGACACACAGCGGTCCACCGAAATGGAGAATAAGGAAATCTGATCGGGCGTTTGTCCAGGTCTCCTCCTCTCCACTTAGCACTGCTGGAATATCATAGGGCCCATGATAGATCCTTGTGGAGCTCCTGCTCTTGTGTGGTTTGGACAAGCGTTTGATATGAAATGAGAGTGTGGCGCCAGAGAGGCCTATTCCGAGTGAAGCTCTATGAATAAAATAATATTTTCACAGTTTGACTTGTATTATTTATTTTTCCCTGTGCACACATTTTTGCTAATTGATACAGTTATATGGAGCTGTTTGTAAGGAAATGGATATTTATTGTAATTGAATGATTGCTAATTGTGCAGTTACATTTCTGGATTATTCCGAGTGCATTTGGACACTTAAGCCACTCAGAAAATGTATGAATGTCATTGCACTAGATCTATATGACTATTTGTCTGTCTGTGTCTAGATAAATTATTGAAGAAATACGCATGTATATATATTTTAAAAAGTTCTCTCTATATATATATATATATATGGGCTATTATATTAGCTGATGGTATGTCACAGACATCTAAACTGGGTTTCATTGTCCATTAAATGCAAAGAAACAGACTTTGATCTGGTTGTTTCATCCATGGGCAAAAATGAGTGATGTCTGCTAACAGATTTAAACATGAGCTTTCAGGCCATGGATCAAATCTCTCCCTTTGCTTCCACTCTCTCATTATGGCAAAAAGCCATCCAAGCCTGTCTCTATTTTTCCTTAAAAGAGCCTCAAAAGTCTCCGAAGACCTGTGCCCGTCAGATTTACAATAGCGAATGGGACTATTTACCAGAAGTAGGAGCCATCCAGAAATAACAGAGCAGAAAAATAAATGGAGCCTGCTATATTTTTCCACACAAGAAAATGTGCTATAGGTCTTGTGCCTCGCTGGTTCGTAATTAGTTCTTTAACATTCTCTGCTTTGGATCTCTGCGTCCACATTCAGCGTTTCTGATAATATACAATGTGGCATTAATGTCAAACATGTTTCACTCTGGTCCAGGGCTGTAACTCTATTCTGTTTGTACAGACTCAAGTGATTCACAAGTCCTCACGGAGGAGACCCTATGGAGACAGTAGCTCACTGTCTCTAGTCAATGCTCAAATTTGCAAATACATTTTTTTTGAAAAATGAAAATGTTGTCATTCAAACTTAGTATTATTTTTTCTACAATGAAACACAAAAGGAAATCTTAGGAGGAATGTCTCAGCAGCTCTTTTCAACACAATAAAAGTGCAGTCACAGTTAGCGCTGATCTGAGAAATTTTGTGGACGAAATTCAGCCATTTTCATCTGTTTGTGTTCAGGAATTTCACGTAAGAGCAAAAAAGTTCTCTGTGCAGATTTCACTCATGTTCCAGTTGGCTATGTGAATTCGCCACACTGATCAACAAAAAAAGCACTTGGCGTGAAAGTGACTTTTGTGTGATCTGTGCTTCATACATTGCTTTATTGAAAACTGACCCTTTTGCCCGCCAAATTTCGTTGAAATATCACTGATGTATGGAAGCTTGTTTTCACCATGAAATACAAAGGGTAACTGAGACTTTTTCACTCACTATTCAGACTTTTTCTCACAATTGTGAATTTATATCTTGCAATTGCAAGTCATAAACTCGTAATTGCGAGTTTACATTTGACAATTCTGACTTTTTTCCTCAGATTTGCGAGTTTATATCTTGCAATTGCAAGTCAATCGTAATTGCGAGTTTACATTGTACAATTCTGACTTTTTTCCTCAGATTTGCGAGTTTATGTTACAATTCGGATGGAATTGTGAGGGGAGAAAAAGAGTCAGAATTGTGAGATAATAAGTTGCAATTACTTTTATTTATTAATTTTTTTTGTTATTGTCTGGTGGAAACAAGCTTTCATTTAGACACCAATTGTAAAATGTCACACTCAAAAAAAGACAAAAAGCAGTAAGTATCAAAAGTGGTTCACATGCTATAATATTTCAAGTTTAGTTTTCTGAATTCTTATGATAGTTTTGGGTGAAGAATTGATCACATTTACGTCGTCGTCATTCGTTATTCACGTTTCCCGCGAATATCATACGTGTTTTGTTTTCAGTTTTTGGCGCATTTCTTAAGGAAGGTATGCTACGTTCCATAAGCAAGAGTAAACCTTTAGGACTAGTCCTTTTACAAAGCCGACAGCGATTTATACATACCTTTATGTGCCACGGTCACTTTACGCAACGGCTCTGACTTAAGTAAGACGAGAAGGTGTACGTCATAATCACGTGATCCTGAGTGGTGCATCCTGGAGATTTGAGAGCATTGAGGTAATTTATTTTGAAAGTTAGCTAAGAATTAAACCAATTTAAACCCAACGTAAAATATATATAGTTACACATTTTTATTTTAGCTAAATGTCAAAGTACCATTGAAATTAAATTGAATTAAATTCGCAAATAGGCTATATTTAACACAAAACTTTTATTTTATATACACATTTCTGCTTTCAACGCTTCTATTTTTTTTTAAAGTATGAATTTTACTTAAAAGTATGAATTTTACTAACAGCATTTGGCCCCTTCTTTTGATATTACAGCTGACACTTATTTAAAAAAATGTAATTTTAATTTAAAAATTGACGCTGGACCATTTTTGCGATTAATTCATGACCTTCATTTTGTTTTAAAACTTTTCTCAAGGCATGCAGTTGCAGAACATATCCAGCAGATGGAGATATTACAGCTACATGACATTCTAATCCCATTTTGAACAGTGTCTGTGGCACAGCCAGACACATATCTTAAATTGTACACAACTGTGTCCAAACAATGGTTGGACTGTGAACCAGATGAACAACGTATTAAATTACCATAATCAGTGACAGCTGAGAATGAATCAATATTTGAATGAGTGTCTGTTAGTGTCTGAGTGACTTGACCATATAAACAACAGTCAGTTCTAAAGCTCGCGAGAGTAAAAAATGGATATCGTCAGATTTATTGAGTATACAAAACCATATATTATTGCTGAACTTCTAAGACTCTTGCGAGTCACCCTATTTAGCCTCATTTTGGTTGTATGTTTGCAGTTCCTCTCCGGATTTCAGTAATATTTAGTTTTTAGGATCACATGAAAGTTTACTGTTGATTTGTGGTCTAGTAGAATGAACTGGTCTCCAGAATTCTGACACAAATGCATTATATCATTTTTATTAGAGCAAAGTGGAAGAAACATAAATCCGAGTTTTTCTTGGAGAAACAAAATATCAGGTTTTCCCTCACAATCGTAATGAAGTTGCCATGTGACTGACATGCAGAGGGATTTGATGGAGATTGTTGATCTGACAGGCACACGCCTGTGGCTTCGGTAGAAGACTGAAGACCTAACCAGAGGGATTTCTGGCTCTGCAGAGCTCCAGTTTGGCAGACGAACTGGACATCAAAGCGGAGCAGTAGGGTTTAGTATGAACCCTGTCATACGGATCCGCTCCAGATCCACAAACACAGAGAAATCAGATACTTTTGGGGTTATTCTACAAACTGGGTGCCATTTGTATTCCTTACATACATACATATATATATATAGCTAATGCCAACTTCTACCATGTCATTTTTTTTTTGTTAAAGCAAAAACAAAAGATTATATATTACATTTTAAGTTTTTCATTTGTATTATTTGTTATAGTAAAAGTATATTTAAAAACAATCATTGAATACTTACTTTTGGTTTTGCTAATAATTTTTTTGTAAGAGCAAACAAAAACCAAAAAAGATGTGTGTGTATATATATGACTTGGCTACACAAA